CGGCGGGGCGGCACCACCCTCCCGGGGGACACCTGTCGGCACACGGAGGGTACCCGACGCCCTGCGGCCCGGTATTCCCCCGAACACGGGGCCCGGCGCCCGTCCGGTTTGCCCGCGCAGGAAGGGGGTGGCTCGAGAGACGGTGGTTTCGGCTGCCTGTTGCTCCCCGGGGAAAAGCTACCGGCGTCCGAGCACCGAGTTAAACGCATGGCGGCTGACACTCACTGCAGACGAGCCCGGTGTTTGAGACCGTGTGCTTTATTTGTTTCATTTAACTTGACCTTTTGCCGATTCCACATTTAATTGACTTAGTACTCGGCCTGGACTGCGACACGGCTGGTGACCGAGCCTCAGCAGGCAAAGAAAGGCAGCAAACTGAGAAAAGACAGCTGCTTCTCAAACCTGACGGCCAGGAGGCAGCTGCAGTTTGGCGTCGGGAACACCAGCGCATCCAAAGCGTGAGGCTGCCGGTGCCCGGCTGCGGCCAGGCTCTGTGTCAGGCAGGTATGGGGCAGCAGTGAACGAAGCCCAGAGGTGGGATGTCTTCTCTGCACGGGGACAAGGCACTTTGTAGGATAAGAGAGAAGTGAAAAGCACTTCCCATCTCTTGGTCTGCCCAGGGCAGTGGTGGAGTCCCCATCCCTGGAGTTGTTTAAGAGAAGGGTCGACATAGCGCTGAGGGATCTGGTGTAGTTGGGACTGTCAGTGTTAGGTTAATGGTTGGACTGGATGATCTTCAAGGTCTTTTCCAACTTAAGACAATTCTGTGATTCCCCTCACTCTCCCAACTCTGCAGGAAGGTGTCTGTCAGCAGAGGTAGAGCCCAGCCCATCTAAGACCTTTTCCCTGTGAAAGAATGCAAACATGGAAACCACACTACCCTCAGCCCCCATGTCTAACTCCTCAGGGCTGTCAGTAGAGCTCGTTTGAGGCGTGTGGAGAAGGGAAGGGAGAGGTGCTCTCTGGCCAAGGAAGGATTAGACAGGTTTGACGATGAAGGGTGCTGAAGCTTTGAACGTTGTGAGCAAATTGCCAAGCCCTGGACAGCTGGTCCAGTTGTCTACATCAGGAACTTGGTGAAAGTGTGCTGCAGATCCTTCTTGGCTCATGGGCCCCCATTTCCTTCTTATACCACAGGGAGCAGGAGAAGGTAATACTCAGTACGGAAATGCAGCACAGCCAGGGAGCGCAGGCTGAGCACTCACAGGCATAGTGTGAGACAACTCACACTACCAGGTGAGTGCTTCGGCTTTTGGCAAACAGGCACAGAAATTCAAAAGTGTTAGGCATGTCTCTCTGGCACAAACCAGATTCTCCCCAATAATTCAGAGCGTCAAGAACTGTACTTAGCTCTAAGGACATGCCTGTACGAGAGAGCATGGACACTGCATCTCTCAAGGACACCTCCAGGTGCTGTCAGTTCCCACCCTCCAGAGCACATGGGACACTATTCCTAAACCCTTCTGGCAGTTTAAGCCACTGCGAGGCTCACCCGGGCAAAATGTCCTCTAGCCAAATGTCTACTGTTTGGTGGGCCATGGAATATTTTGGGGTTTATCTGCTGTTATGCCTGCACATGAACTGCCACGTGGATGTGTCTTCTCCCCTTGGTCAGGATGTGTCTGAAAGTAGAGGCAGGCTTACATTCAGCATTTGTGTGTCAGTAACAACTCTAAAGCTAGTTTACATAGCTTTTTTTACACAGCTAAAAAGCTATGTTTCCAGGAGAGACATCATGCCCCTATTTGCTTAGAAGATAGCATCTCAAAATACAGAATCTTGAAAGGTGCAGCCGTCTCAACGAGAGGAGATGACAGAGATAGATGGGCTGTTAATTTAAAACCAAGAGGCCGTAACACTCAACACTGCTAATGTTTTGTTCCGGTTTTAGCTGTCTCAGTCTCTTTCCACCACCAGTTAGAACTGTATTTCTGACCATAATAGCTACAGGGGTTGCAGCAGTGACATTTTCCCCAGCCCTTGGCCCTTGACTAAATGAATTAGAAGTTCTGAGAAATTTATTCCAGCCAATATAAAAGAAAACTATTGCTTTGCTTTGTGCAAATAGCAGGGTGCAGCCCTCCAGAAATCAAACACAAAATGAGGCCTACCACAGCTGGGATTTTTGATGGTTCGACAGGAGACCGGAAGGCTGTAAAGGATATCTGAATTGCCACAGCACTCCTAATTTCCAAAAAGGGTCTAAAAATTAAATTGGGCTATTTTAACAAATAAGATCTTTAAGCAGTATAGCAGAGCTGATATTTTAGACTGTTGTTTATGAGCAAAAATGACACCTGATAAGATGAACAGTAGAAATACAGCAGTACAAGACGGTTAACAGTATGTTTGAGCTCGAAGTTGGTTCCATGAGAAAAGGCTGTAGCAGTGCAGAATTCCTGTCAGCATCCGGAGAGAAGTATTTAATTTTCCTTCTGAAATGTTCCTTTCAAAGAAAGCCTGGTAGAGGATCTGCACAGGCATCCATTCTGCTTTACCTGCTAAAGAGTTCATTAGCAAGGAGGGTGCTTTTAGGCTTTGAGACCAGGTTCATTCCTGCACATTGACACAGTATCCACTCTTCAGGGTGACCTAGAACTGGAGGTACAGCATGAGGAATAGAGGGTTTGTAAATACAGTGGTTAAAATTCTCTCAATTCCCCCCAGAAATCTACCTTTTAAAGCTCTCTCCCTTGAAATGACTTTCCAGAGTCAGGACGGTATTGCTCATCTCATGACAGAAAGGAAATAAGAAGTTACATTCCTGAGAACAGAGGAAGTTAAGGGAGGTGACAGAGGGACTGAGATGCACCTTATTCAGCACTAAGTTTTAAGGGAACCAGGTATCTAAGGAAGGTGTTGGGAAGAGGTGAGAGAAACAGCTGTTTAGGGGAGAAACATGTGATTGGAGATAAATATTCCAGATACTTCAGATAGCTATGCATTCCCTTATCTGCCCCAAGCAGATGAGTTAGCCCTTGAAAATGCAATTAAGACTATATAAAGCCATTTTTCTCCACATGTAGGTTGACTTTTCAGGGAATTGAGTACATTCGTAAGTGTGCTGGGTCTGTGTGTGTGGCAGGGGTTTTTGGTAGTGGGAGATGGGGCTACAGTGGTGGCCCTTGTGTGAAGCTTCTCAAAGGTCCCCCAGCTCCAAGTCAGACCCACCTCTGCACCAAGGCACAGCCAAATAGTGATGGTGGCTGTGCATCTGTGATAATGTATTTAAGAAGGGGAACCTAGGAGGAGGAGATGGAGTTATGAGGAGAACACGTCTGCAAACACCGAAGTCAGTGGAAGAAAAGAAGAGGAAGAGGGGGAGGTGAGCAGGAGCAGAGACCCCCCTGCACCCATGGGTGAGAGGGCAGGGTCACCAGTGGAGCAGATATCAACCTGCAGCCCGTGGAGGACCTCATGCTGGAGCAGGTGGCTGTGCCCGAAGAAGGCTGGGACTCTGTGGGAAGAAGCCCCCACTGTTGTAGTTCTGCACTGGGAAGACTGTGACATGCGGGACTGACCAGTGCCAGAGCAGCTTGGGAAGAGCTGCTGCCTGTGGGAAGGACTCATGCCTGAGAAAGTTTGTGGAGGACTGTGTCCCATGAGAGGGACCCCATGCTGAAGCAGAGGAAGAGTGTGAGGAGTCCTCCCCTTGAGGAGGAAGGATGGGTGGGACTCACACACACCCCACCCCACCCCCCCCCGCTGTCCCCTGGCCCCTACACCACTGGAGGGGAGAGGTAGAGAAATTGTGAGCAAGCTGAGCCAGGGAAGAAGGGAGGGGTGGAGGAAGGTGTTTTTAAGATGTGGTAATGCTTTTCACTGTCCTACTCTGTTAAATGTTGTTGTTGATAGTGTTCAAATTAAACTGATGTTCTTTTTCTTCCCCTAATGAGTCTGGTTTTGCCCATGACTGTAATGGTTGAGTCATCCCTCCCCATTCTTATCTTGATTCCTGAGCCTTTGGCTTTATTTTCTTCTTGCCATTCCTGAGGGGAAAGGGGTAAGCAAGGGGCTGCATGGTGCTCAGTTGCCCTCTGGGCTCAAATCACTACAGTAAGGAAGAATTTCCTCTTCATATGACGTGTTGACTCTTCCAAGTAGATCATATTTATTCAGGTGTCCACTAGTTCTATTGCCCACTATACTTTCTATTAATTTGGAAGGGAGAGAGAGCAGACTTCCTGCCCCAGCCCATCAGGCACCCTGTCTTCCATGGAATTATTTTTAAAAAATGACATCCCATCCTGTAGACACCAGGTATGGGTACACTTTTCAAACTGTAGTTATTCACACCTGTTAGCAATTTCCATCTGGTCCTAGTGGTTTCTTACTGTTATTTTATCAGTTTCATCCATTCTCTCCAAAATCCCTTCCATTTCCAGGATATCCACTGGTGAACACCAGCTCAAATAGTTTATGAACTTCTCTGCAACAGCCTTATTTTCTTTGAGTACTCCTGATAATACCATGGTTATCAATTAGTCCAGCATACTTCTGAAAGGCTTCCTTTTCCTAAGGATTGAAGAAAGATTTATTATTAGCTTTGATACCTTTGAGGAGGGACCCAATCTGTTTTCTTACATTTAATCTGCAGGAATATGTAGGTTTTTTCTACTTTTTTCATTTCAGTATTACTTCATCTTGTTTTAAAGAAAGCTTCTTGTTTCTAATAGCCTCCTTTAGCCTGTTGTATACCTGTGGTCCCTCCCTTTTGCTCATTCTCAAGCTTTCCTTAATAATCCAAGTGTGTATAGACCTGAAATTTCTAAAATGTGCATCTTAAAACAGCTTCCTTGCTGCCTCTAAGATTTTAATTTAGTTGCATTTTTAAAGTTACTTTTTAACAAAATCTCTTATTTTTACATAGGTCTTCTTTTGAAACCGAGGACAAATTTGCTGAATGTTTTGGCTGCTGCTGTTCCTGTAATGATGCTGCATCAAAGTATGATAAGGCGGTTGTCACAGAATGGCTCTTCAAATAGGGTGAAGTCTAAAGCTGTCTATCTTCTTGTGGGCTTTCTAACAAGCTGTTCCATGGAAGAGACACTGAAAATGCCTAAAAAGTCAGTCTCTGTGTTACATCTAGGTGTAACGATTGTACAATCTACATACAAGCAATGAAGTCTCCTGCTCTTGCTGTATTTTCTGCCCTTGCTGATCTACTTGATCCACCATGGAATTTCACTATTAGTAAACCAGACCCAATATTGGTTGGTTAATTATGGAACAAGACAGTAATTATTTGTATTCCTCTAAAATCTCCTTCTTTAGGCTTGACATATCTGTGCAGATACTGATTTCTAAGAAGTTTGTCAACTGGATTTGACTTAAAGAGCAGTTTTTCCAAAACCAAAATGGTTTTCATAGGAGGTGAACTTCCCGTCACTCTGTAATCCGGTCAACACTGACTAAAATGTTGCCTGGCTCAGTAACTCCTACAGGGGCTGTGCTACTGTCAGACTTCCTGGAAGACACAGAGGTGCAAGTAAATCCACATCCACAGATATGCTGTGCCTGCAGAAAAAGTACCAGGAAGGGCTTATGGTACTCAAGAAAAGGGCTTCCCTTCAGGACTTCAAGATTTTTACAGAACTGCAGATAGGGGATGGATATGTGAATGTTTTAATAAAAGGTATCTGTTACTGGCAGTATCAGTACACAGTCCTGAAGACTGGCCATAGTCTCTGAGCCAACAGGGTAGCGCAGGGATTATATTTGTTGTTTCTTTACTACTATGAGATGGAGTAAAGCTGCTTTCTACTCTATTTGTTTGTAGAACACTGAATGGCCATTGGTTATAGTGAAAATGCATTGTAACGGTACATTTTCTGCTGTATTTTTTCTGCCATGGAATCCATCTTAGTGTTATGATTTGATTTTTATTTAAGGAAGGTAGAGGGTTCAATAAAGTAATATTTTTATCTGCCACCTGATGTCTCTAAAGGAAAACATGACAAAAATGTATTTAAGTTCTTAACCTTTTATAATACTGTTTTATACAATAAATACAAAAAAGTTTTCAAAATAAAATTAGACATATCCTTCCACTGGTAAAAGAGAAATTAAGAAAGAAAATATTTCTCCCTATGATGTATAATGTTAAACCATGTTACGGTGGCAAAATAAATACATAATGTATTAAATCTGTACGTTCAGCAAGTATGTCAATACATGCAGAAGCATTGTTTTTTGTCCACTGTCACAGTCTTCACTTTATCTATTTTATAAACTTTGGTTCCTAGTAATTCTTTACAGACTGTTTAACGTGAATACAGTAATTAATAAGTCTTCCTATTTATTTCCCTAATATGTTGCCAGATGAATATGATATTCCATTTTACCTGTCTGGAAACCATACATACTTACTGACTGCCTATTTTAATCCTACCTTTAAGTCTCTTAACATAAATAAAGGTAATCCATCCAGGATTCTCTTCCTCTCTGATCATTTTATCTTCAGCTTCTTCTAGGTTTAACTTTCTATTTTTATTCTCAATGAACCAAGCTTACAGACCTGTATTTTATAGTTTTGAATGTCATTTTACTGAGAAGAACTGTGAATGAGTGTTAACCACCAAACGATACTGAATGTCATACAGCATTTGGTTATTTCATTTTTCTTATGCAATACAGAGCTAACAGCATGAAGTAATCTATACGTCAGGTATGCTTACTAACATGTTTAATAAGACAGATGAATATAGTACATCTGAGTTCAGAACATGGCCTACCATATTACAATGCAAATAGGAAGTAAGCATGTGTTGTAATTTGGTATGTGTTTTTCTTTGATTTATTGAATTACAGAGGCACAAAGCCTCTAAAGGTGACATCAGAAGTTATCCAACAATTTATAATAGCAGTGAGAGGATTATGAGCTACTGTAATCTTCAAGTCACTGACACACATAAACAAGATCCTCACAAGTGATGGGGCTGCCTTACAAGTGATAAAAGGAAAATTAAGATAGAAGGCAAAGAGGTATCACCAGATACATCCAGAAAATCAAACCTTTTGAAGTTAGAGGATAAAAAGACTCTGAAGGAAAGAAACGTTGAATATCTCTTCTTCAGTAATTCTCACGCACTTTAGGGCTCTACCAGTTTTCAGCATGAATCTAAGTAGTTGTTAAGAACATCTATTTTGTTCTGCAAAGTATGACATCAAAGTCAGGGGTGTGCAAGTATAAGCACTAATTGCTCTGCACACCCGTGTCTTACTGATTTGATTGGAAAGGGAGCAGATCACTCACATCCGTGATATAACAATTCTAGAATCACTGGGTTCTATGTGATTAAAAATCTGATCATAGTTTGATTTTGTTGGGTTTTTTTAAACAACAACAAAAAAACCCCAGAGAAAGCACAGTTTGAATTAGCTTTGCGTGAGCCTGCTCCAGAATGCACTGTGGCTGTAGTGGGCCTTTCAGTAGTTTACTTTGTATCTCCACCAATGGAAGGAATAAGAGCAATGCAGGGGCTTACAATATATTGCAAACTCTTTTGATTTCCAGAATTAGCCTGACTTTGAAATCTCAAATCATTTTTCTTTAAAGAGTAAAAACAGAGACAGGCATTTCTTTAATGCAACTCTGTTCATTAGCAGAGGATGTTTATAAATTCTTTTTTTTTCTCTGACCATAGTAAGACTATTTTGCTTTGACCACAGGTTTGTCTTTTCTTCTGGATACTGTTTCTTACAAAGGTTCTCTTTCGCTCTTATTTTTTTAAAATCACGCTATGTATTTTTTTGTGGCCATCTTTGAGACATTTGTCTTTGTGTTCACTTGTGATGTTTTTGCCATTTCTCTTTTTTACGTGCACGTACAGACACACACAACCTACATAACTGTTGCATTTGGTAAGAGAATCTCAGTAAGTGCCCGCACCATCTGGCCAAGGCATAATAGTACACATTTGCATGTGGTCTAGCTCCTGGGTGGTATTTTTGCATTGTTTCAGCTATCGCTAGACAAAGAGGCATTTAATTGTGTCTTCAATGAGCCCGAACAGAAGACAGCTACTATACCCAAGAGCTTCACTGGGAAAGTGCGATTGCCCAACCCCCACTACTGCAACCTACAGAAGCAAAGTGAGGAGGGGGAACACGAGCTAAAGCACGCTCTTAATTAAGTAATGTCAAATTCAGTGGCCATTTTCTTCCTAACCAGCAGCTGTCTTAGCTGCCAGCTGCTCTAGCCTTTTTGCAGCAGCGATCTGACCCATGAGACATTGCTGACCTCTCCTTCTGCCCTTGCCTGCTAACCTCACAGACTCCCAGCCTTGCATCGCTTTGGAGAAGTTGGGAGGACAGCAGGAATACAGCACTGGCATAAATCAAGGATCATGAATGGGCTATAAAATTTCTGACTCATGTGCTTCTGTGTGTGTTTGTCTGTGACACAAGGGGACAGGCAGCTAGACAGTGACATGAAAAGCCTGACAGAGACAGAAGAGCTCTACTCAGGGAAGGTCACAGCAAAGGTCAGTAAACTTCCCCGGTGAGGATGAGTGTGCCACCAGATAATGGGAAATGGCAGTGGATAGACCTCCAGGAGGCATGAATCGGTTCACTTATCAAATTAGAAAATCAAGGCCAAATTGGAAAACAAAAGCACTGAAATACGACAGAATCCACATAATTTTTACTATGGGGATGATAATACAGGGCTGTTTAAAAGTAAAAGTCATCGCAACAGCAACAACAAAAAAATCTTAGGTCAAATCTTTCGGTTTGTTATTCCTGGCTGATCTATGAATGTAGTCTGTGTTCTTTTCAAACACTGAGGAGGACAAGTAAGCAAGTTTGTTAATTCTTCAATTAGGGTGCTCACTGTTCTTTAAATTACATATATTTTAAAAGTGTTCAATTGCTATGCATACTTGCATCTTCAAGTAAGCAGGGAAACAGCATGCTCTTATGCTGCACTTCAGAAATGCAGCAAATAAATGAAACTTTACAGAATGAAACCTGTCTACTAGTTAGAATGGGAGCCCTCTTTTTTCCTAACCTGCATCATTGTCAACCACTATAAAATGAGCACAAACATATACTGACATTGTCCCAGTAAGGATACTGAAAGACACAATAGAAGCAAATGGTAAGCTTATGCTCAGACATGAAATTAAACATGAATTAAATACTAACAAAGTTTAGTAAAGTACCCTAAATTATTAGTAATGATTATACTGAAATCTCATTGGGAAGCAGATGACATCGGAGCAGGAGAGAGTGGACTAGATCAACCAGTATGCTTCAGGTTTTTTATACGTCAGTGACACCAAGTACTTGTAAACCCTGCTTAACCAGGTAAATGATGTCTAAAGTCCTTAGGCTTCTTTAAATGGCACAAAGCAGCAACTAAAGCATATGAAGGTACCTGTCTTGTGTTGCTTGACAGCTTGATTTGTTGGTTATTTGGAAAAGGAGAAGATTTTTCACGGGCTGTACACAGGACAATACCTGCTAGAAACATGGATCATTTAAGCGTGATTCTGCCCATTCAGTAACATTTTGCTTTAAGAAGGTTAAACCAAGACGTAATAATTACTTGGATCTGGAATATATAAAATCACAATTTGTGAATGTGTCCTTTAAAGGTATTTCATGATGTTGGTTGGTAATTGGTTGCCTGTCTTCAGAATTTGGACCTAAATGCTGTCACAGCATGAGCTGCATGAATTAATAAGTAGCTGTTTTCACCTGTTGAAGAAAATCATAATTGCAACCTTTGTATTTTACAAGTATCCTAGAAACATTTCCTAATTCATTCTCACAATATTCTTTTTCTACAAACAATAGGCAGATACAAGTATTATTGATACTAGATAAGTGAAGGTGAGAACTGTCAGAAAGACAGGTGTCCACCCGCAGTTACACTTCAGTAATAACATGGCATCAAATTCCCTTGGCTGTCTGACCATGCTAATGAAGTGTTTATCACACAACAAACCAGGATCAACTATTTTGTTATCTGTCACCTTGGTCCCCTAATCAGCTGGGCTACTTAGTCACTTTTTACCAATTACACTGTCATAATAGCAAGTATGTTTATATGAATACACTTATTCTGACAAAGGAATAGGATGTATGTTTTTCTGTTCTGAAGTTAGTAAGCAGAAATTTTCACTTAACCTCTAAGCCTAGGAAATACATACTTTTATTTTTATTAAGGATGGGGCCAGAAGACCACAGTGGATAGAATACAACTGCAGAAAATCCAGAGATTATAGTTTGGATTTTGAATCCAAACTTTCTAGGGGGTCACCTGGATGCCCGGAAATTGAAGAGAATATTTTGTGTACTAAGACCAGAATAAGGATTGGTGTAGTTTCACTGAAGTCAATGACACTGAAGCAGGAAGAAACAATCTGATCCTGTGAAGTTTTGACTGAAATCACAGGCTGTGCCCGACAGCTAGTGGGAAGACAACTGAGATTTAAACAAGGAGTGGGATCCCAGCACTAATGGCTGGATCTGGCAAACATGTGCCCTTTAGTCTTTTGCAGCTATTCTCCTACTCATTCGGCATCTCTCCATGTTCTTTGTAAAAGCAATTTCCTCTTGACTTCAGAACCAGTAGAAAGTGTCTTGCAGTGACAAAACGTTAGAGATGTTTTAGTATTTATTGTCAACAGCTCTGACAGCAATACTCAGAAAACATAAGCCCAGTTAGCTTTATGGGCACAAGTAGTACCTTCTTTGAGATGAACCCATGTAAATGGGAGAAATATAATGTATGTATTAATCAGACTTAGTTTTATAACAGCTCACTGGTATGATATAAAGAACAGATATTTAATTTGCACTGTTGCGATACTGTGTGCCTTTCCTACTCCTTTAGAATTTTACCATCAATTACGTTAAAATGGGATAACCCCGTTTGCCTTTAGAAAAAGAATGTGAATTGGCTCCAAACTCTTCTTATTGTGATGGAAGGGAAAGACAGGTATAACTACTTATTCTTGGAGCAAATTTTGTGGGTGTTATTTTAGTAAAATAATTTCTATCAGCTGTTAAATGTCAATTTACTGTCTTTCTCTTTGCAGGAAGACGAACAGCATCCTTCCTGTGATAACGCCACCATGACTACGTGCAGCTTATTTTTTCTAATTTTAGTTACTGCCTTACTAAACACTGAATCGGTGATGTTTTTTCCCGCCCCCCAAATGAGAGCTAAAAACAGAGCCAAAGCAGGATTACAGACCACACAGCCCCACAGACAACGCCGCCCTCGACACTAAAGCAGATCCGCTTGAAAAATCTGGGACACGGCCTGAGCGATGAAAAAAAAAAAAACCACATGGGGAGCGAAGGCGACGACCTCTCTTCTGCCCTGCTCATGGAAACGTAGGCAAGATTTAGGAGCCTGGTTTACACACATATATACACAGACACACTCACCCCGCTCCTCACCTCTGCCACTCGCCAGCCCAGCCGCTAGGCCGCCGCTGTCCTTGCCCTCTGGGGGAAATTACGAGTCCTGAAGGGCACCTGAGGGTCCAGCCTCCGTTTCCCCGCGTCTGCGCGGAGGTGCCGCCGGGCGGCTGCTCCTCCTTTCCCCCCCCCCCGCCTTCGCCGCTCGCCGCGCCGCGCCTGTGGCAGCCCGGCAGCATGGCGGCGGTGGAGACCCGCGTCTGCGAGACGGCCGGCTGCA